CCCCCCAACGGGGGTGCGTTGGGGGGGACCCCGCCGCCGCAGGCCCCTGAGGTGGGAGGCAGGCAGCCATCACGACGTGGGGGTGCGTGCCCCTGGGGAGGTCACCCGTGTCCCTCGGTGGTGGGTGACACATAAGCAGCTCCTGATGCCACTTCAGGGTGTCAGGAGCGAGGAGTTCGAAGCGTAGCGTGTGCCTGGGTCTGTATGCGTACAGAGCAGTGGGAAGCGTGGATCTATAGGTGCCGGTTGCACCTCTCACACTGGTGCCTATGGATCGGAGGACCTCTGGTGCCTTGCAAGACCATGGGAGGTGATCCACATCGTGCCCTGCCTCTAATGTAAAGGTTAATGATGACACATGGTGATTTGTGGAAAAAACTCGGAGCTTCTCAGTACTGAAGTTTGCAAACAGCTGTTCTCCAGCGTGATGGGTTTGAAGAGATGTTAGGTGGCTGCCAGACCGCTTAGTCAGTTGTGTGCTTATCAATCACCGCATTGTCTGCTGTCTTTCGCCTGCCTCTGTCTCCCTTACCGTCTTTCCTAGTCATCTGTGTTCACTCCTGAACTCATGTCTGAAATTTTGACTTTTCTGGACTTTTTTTTCTCTTCCATATGGAAGGAGGGCCAGGGTAGTCCTATAATTTTTGACACTACTGTAGCAAATGGCAACTTGGAATACCAGTCATACAAGTATGAAATACCATTATGGTATGTAAGGGATTGGAAATTTCTGTCATTCCAGTTAAGGACCTGTAGATCCAAAGATTTCCCCATTTTTCTTTGTTACCGAAAGTTACTTCTTTTCTTTGTTTATCACAAGTAATGTTCCTCTGTCAGGGAGTCCAGAAACATTTATCCTTGTCATGGGACCGTTTTTTTCAGATGTGTTTTCAGTATCTTAGTTAAGTTAGGGGGGGAAACCCCCACCAAAGGCTCAGTTCAGGAGCACTTCAAGAAACTTTTTAGTTAAGTTTATTAATGGGCAAATAGTATTTGCTTTTTACTTAAGTTGTGATTGTTACATTTAGTTTCAGTTCAGGAAAAGTGGAACTCCTAGGGCTAAAGTGAATAGGACTGACAAGTTCTTCCTTGGTGGGATACTCCCATCTTAAAAATCCCTGCTGTGCTAAAAGCCTCTTGATCCTCATGTGTGAGTCTTGAAAAGTCCTTCATCTCTCTGTCTCACTGTGTGTGCTGTGTCTTGCACAGATGAGATAGCTGCATTGGTTCAGTTCTTCTGAAATTTTTATGGAAAAGGATAATTTGTCTTGGCTGAGCACATAGTTGGACTTCTTTCCAAAGCTACTAGAGTGGCTAGCCTGAATGATAAATGGCCAATTTGGAGCCATATTAATAATGAGGCATGTTACACTTATCTTTTATGAGTTGTTTTAAATCTGTGAAAGCCAAGTTGGAAGAGAAATGTCATTTTGAAATATTCAGAAACGTCTAAGATTTCTTCTCAGAGAATGCCTCTGCAGAAATCCCAGAACATTTCAGCTGTCATCTAATTATGACTGACAAGGTTAGCAGGTTCAGGGAAGCCCAGGAAACCTAATTTTTCCCTGAAGCAAAGTAACTCCCTGTTTTTGCGTCAGCTAGCTTACTGCCTACTTTATGGCTTTTCTGTGTTTACTTTTCTGTCAACACCTTCAAGGAGCAGAGGTTTTCATTTTCAAGTTAATAAAAGTGAAATATTTTCATCAAATTTGATAGTGTGTGGATTACACATCTTGATCAAACTTGAAAAGGTATTTTATGTGCAAATAAAATGTAGAAGCAATCTTATGGCTTTGAGTCTGTGTGTTGCTGCAGTCTTGCAGACAAATTCCCAGTGTCCTTAAGTAGTCTCCAAAGCACTCCGTGTATGGAAAGAAGAATGTGTGACAATTATATCACCCAAAGAGATCGTACACCGGCAATTATTGTATAAGAACTGTACAAATGTCTACAGAGGAATTTTTTTGAAACAACTTTTTAATGCAAGGGGAGTGTTACATTATTAACATTCATTCTTATGATTTTTCAAGGTTATTTTGCTACCTTTCCAATACTTGTGCTTCATGCTTATTTTCTGAACGGAGTTGCTCTTGAGTGATGTGATTTGATGTCTACAGATCATTCCATTCACATGAGTTAACATTCAGTGTTATGCAACAGCTCTGTAATACTCCTGCGTTTCTGTTGTCAAGAAGACACTTCGTAATGCAACTGAGTAGTAGCAACTGTAATTCTTGTTTTGGGAGGGGCAAAAAATTGCAGTCAGAGAGAAGGGCTGTTTATTAGCCTGGTTTGCTAAAGCAAAAAAGGTAAAGCAGCTCAGACCTATTTGTGTCCATTGGCCCTTCTCCCTCAATAGTTTTTGAATCCATTGATTGGTATTAATTACATTTGACAGTGGGCTGCCTCTTGCACACATTTGGCAGACTGAGCCAAGATGGGTTGGAGCTGTACGAGAGGATGGGGATACTGAAGCATATGGGGAGAGGGGGTGAAGCACTTAGGAGGTACCAGGAAATATTGTAGTGGGAGTGTGTGATGAATTGAAGGCATTGCGAGACACTGAGTGGGGGGGAACTGAGGATGCAGGATATAAATCACAGAAAAACAAGATTCTGTAGGTTTGCTACTTTTGTTTTTAGTAGTGATAGAAATTAAATTGGAAGAGACTTTTATATAAAGATAGTTTTGACTGATTTCTTTTGCTTGAAAAGAAATGGTCCTCTGGTATACCACCTTCCAAAGGATACAGCGTTGTTATTCTTTCTTCCCAGGAGAGCACCCTGTGCTTCAGGAGAAGAGCTTTTGTTTTGTTAGTTCAGTCCAGTTTGGATCTACTCACAAGAATGCCAGAAGTGAGAATGATTTTGTCCTGTATGTACTGAAGTAGGATGCTCAGAGATGTTTCAGAATTGCACTCATCGCTCAGTACTCTCTCAAACACAGCAAATTGGCTTCTATCTCTGCATCTGACTGCAGCAGAGAGTAGAACACACCTGTGCTAGCTTTAAGCTAGCTATCATGGTTTAGCCATCAGTCTAGAAAAGGAAGTTTGGAGCTCAGCACAGCCTGTGAAACCAATGTGGGAAACTCATATTGGTACAGTGAGTCTGCTGGGAGCTCAAGTCTGCTGTGGCTCAGCTGCTGCTGCTCCCTGAGAAACTCTGTCAACAGCTGCTCAGGTGTGTTCATGCTGTACTGCACTTGCTGTGGTGTGCAGTCGTGGACGTGAGTTTGGGCTGAGTTTGAGTCAGTGATCAGTCTCAGCATAAAGACATCTTCCTGTTAGGTTCCCTGGGCTAACTGGTTTCTTTGATGTATTACACTTTCAAATCTGCTGTTGCTCTTGCACCTAGACATAACGTCAAACTTTATAATTTCGAGTATTAATGTGCGTGCCAAGATTGTTCAAAGTAATTTTGGCTGCTCTGCTTATCAGGGCTGAGCTGGTACCAACATTCACAGGCAGTATTTGCCATCTCTCCTCACCAGAATTAGCTTGTACAAGTTCTGTCATCTTTGTTGTATTTGTGTGTAAGTTTGTGCAACTTCCCTTTTAGATTGGTTTACAGATGTGGTTGGAAAGCATTTATATTGTTTCAGATACACTGACTTGCTTCCCATTAGCAGCCTGGTGTGTGAATAATGGTTATAATAATGCTAATAATGCTTTGCAAATGGAGTGTTGCTTTCCTTGCAATAGATCTCTAAAGATCTTTTCTTTGAGATATAGTTTCATTTCTACACAGATCATTTCTGTAATGCCTTTTTTTTGGCCTTCTTCCTCATGGACACAAGATTCACATTCAGGGAAGACTTATGTCTCGGGTTTCCATAGTTAATGAACATAACTATTTCAAACTATTTTGTGCATATAAACATATGAAGTTCTATGATGATAAACATCAGTAAATATTTAGGAGCCTGAAAAGTTTATAGTAAGTAAAATTAACTATGTGAGTCGAAGCTGAATCCCATTCAGCTGGGTAAGGCAAGCCCATAAGGTCTAGTTATGAACTGTTATTTACTTGTTATTCCTTATTTATACTGAACAATTACATGGATAGCCCTTGAGAAGGATTGAGAGTTTACATGAATCTGGCTTTGCTTTTGTGTATGAATTTTAAATATCTTTTGTGACCTTTGGGTTTTTTTTGTTGGTTGGTTGGTTGTTTTTTTTTTTTAATTACTGACCTTTTTTATTAGTTCTGCTGGTGTGCCACTATATCTCACTTATACTCAGAAGAGTCAAACACAAACGTACGTGGTATCTAGCTGCCATTTCCCTGTCATCTTGAGTTCTTGTAGAATATTTTATATTTCCATATAGGAAATGAGCTGCTGATAAAGTCTTAACTGATGATACTTGGAAAAACTTTTCAATTCTGCAGTTTCTCACATCCTCTCCTAGCCATCACTTACCCATCTACTTTTATCCTTCCCTTTCCAAGAGCATTGGTCTATGAGCACCTCCAATGCTTTGGGAACTCCTTGTGCAGAAGATGTTCATACTACTGTAAGAAGCAACACTTGTGGCAGTGGTCTCTGTCGGTGTTTGGGAGCAGGGACAGGTGTTCTCATACTGCCTCTCTCACTTTACTGCTCTAGGACCTTGACGACATCTTAAATTACCTTCTTGGCTGACTACCTAAGCAGGATATCGGCTTAATATTTATACAGTACTTTGAACTCGAACAGAGTTACAAATGTTGAATCATTGCAGGAAAATATGAATGCTACGTTTACCTAATGTCAGCGCTAGCCCAGATGCCATAACCTTCACAGTGCTTTGTACCCACTGACTTGCACAGGGCTTGCTGTGACTGTGAGCATCCCCACCAAGTCACAGAACCCTTCTGCTGCTTCCTCCCTGTCCCTGCATTTGTAAAGATGAAATATAATTGAACTTGCTTTGCCTGTATACCAACTAAATCATAGAATTAAAAAATTGTGAGGGAGGAGCATGATCTAATATCCTTTCTGTTCGTTTGTGTAAATCTTAGTAATTATAAATATTATTCATATGTCTGAGGAGAGAAAATGGTATAGGAGAAGTATGGAAATATACAGCAACAGCTTAAGTTTTGAGTTGTTAGAGCGAGTAGGAGTAACTGAGCATCATGCTGGGAGCTTGCATGCAGGCACCAGTCCTGCAAAGATTTAAGGATATGCTCAACTTCAGTAGATGTATTCACAGCCTATCCACAGTATATAAAATTAATCATGTTAAATATTTGCAGTACGAGTGTTTTAGCAGCATGGAAAAGAGTGACTGATTAGGTTTGCTGTGTGTGAAGAATTTTCGCCAATTTCAAGTAGATAATATTTCTTCATGAAAAGGACCTGTGCTTTTGTCCTTATTACTCTTTGTAAAGATGTCTCCAAACAACTTGTCACAGCATGAACATAATCCTATCAATAGGAAACATATAGTTATTCAGTAGCTTGTATTAAATATATTTTTCTCAAATTTCTTGTCAGTTGCCAGAGCTAATTTAGAGGGGGAGATGTATAGTATAAGGATATATTTTGGTCATGGGATTTCCTTCTTCTTTTAATGCTGACCAAATGTCCTGTGCCTCTCTTTACAGCTTCCAGCTACAGTTTTATTCTGAGCATTAGTGAAGAGGAAGCCAGGGTGAAGGCTTTGAACGAGTACCTGAGCACTCGTAGTTATATCCAGGGGTTCACATTTTCACATGCAGATGTGGAGGTATTCAGAAAGTTTTCGGGGCCACCTGTGGACCAGTATATCCATGTTGTCCGGTGGTACAGACACATAGAAGCAATCTATGATGGCAGCAGTGAAAAAAATGAGCCTTGTAAACTTCAAACAAGTGAGTAATATGAAACTGGTGGGCAGGTTATAGACTAGCTGACATTGTATTGGTTTTTATTGCTGAGAATTCCTAGAAGTTCCCTTTCATACTCTCTTGCACGCTTTAAAATTTAACGTATCAACTTGTATTCGAAGTCATGAAATTCTTCTTGCATACGGTTACTGCGTAATTGATAGATCCTGACCTATTTGAATGTTAAAGCTCTGTTTCCACATTTCTTTGATTTTAAAATTCCTCAGTGTACAGAATTCGATTATGTGTATTTTCTTGAAAAAACTAGCCGCTGGATTGTAAAAGAATATGTGGGTTTTGGCTTGTTCCCTAAAGTATCAGGATTTGCTCAGTCCACTTTTTTTCCTCTGCAAGGGTAACTAAGTCGTTGTTGTATAATATACAAATTCCTAATAAAGTACTGAATACTGCCTCTTACGATTGTTATTAACTCTGAATTTAAAAAAAGAATGTTTGGGGTTCTTTTTTAGCCCTGGTAATTTAGGCATTGCTGGTGATTTGAGGAAATACTAACTGGTTAATCTAGGTCATTGTGTAAGCATGGGTGCTGGCATTTTTGGGAGCTGCATCACTCTCCTGAGTTGTTTTCCAATGAGCTAGTCTAACTTAATTGCTTTATAGTGAGATCCTTGCTCAGGGAGTCATGAACTAATTAATAATAATAACACAGAGCTGTTGTATAGTGCCTGCAATACCTACAAATGAATGCATAATGTCTGTCATTTTTGCTGATGGTTGTTGACTAATATTACTCCAATGCCATCTTCTCACAACCTCTCATCATATGTGTTCTCAATTCCTAGCAGACCAGCAATTAAAATCAGACTGCTGCGAGTAGATTTTGTATATGTGTGTGTGCCTGCATGCGTTTGTGCTGGTTATTGGTTTCCTTTCAGCAGTGAAGGGATGTCAGCTGTACTGCTGGCTCTGATAGCAGATTTAATGCCACTAACTACAATTTGTCTGCAGACTTTCATGGATCAGGGTGGAGCAATAAGAGAAAAGGTTTCTGTTTTCCTGTCCATGAAATCTTTAATGTTAAGTCTCTCTTTCTGAAGGGTTATGTCTTGTTAACTTCATGATCTGTGCATATGTATCAGAAGTCCTGAAATGGTGTTCTGCAGTGTTCACTATAAAAATGACATGTCAATCTGCCATACTTGTTAGACCTTGGATATTTTATCAGTGTTTTTTCAGGTGTATCGGAGAGCTCCAGGGGTGGATTAGAGCAACTGAACTTCAGTTCAACCAGGGGGAAGACTATAGCTGGCAGAGACATATTTGAACAGATTAAACAGTATGCCTTTTACTTTGCCCTTGGTGTCCCTGCAGTGGATATAACGTGACACCTAACTCATAAACTGAGAACTTTAGGGTGCGGTATCTGGGATTTTTCTTATGTTTAGTGTGGTTGTAAGTAAAGAAAGCTTTACAGATTTATCTTTTATTAGAGTAACCCACACAGGCTTCCTTCCCTGAGGGAAATGTTAGCCGCAATTAGGCATGCCAGCGTAATCTTTGTAAATCAAAGAGTAAACAAATCCATACCTTGGTATATGGTATGTGTTATGGATAGACTGCTCTTGAACTTGAGGTATTCTGTTCAGAAGTACCTCATACAATGAAATGTTTAGAATAAACATATATTTTCATGCATCCATAACCTGGAGATTAAATGAGTCCATTTGTGAGACAGAGTACTACAGTTAATATCTTTTTTTCTTATTTAGGCAGTTATTCGAAAAAGGAAGATGAGGAAGAGATTAAATTTTTTATACCATGGATGTTTACGTTACTTGAAGGTTTTCAGCCAAAATATTCATACAAAGATATCAGGGAAACAGAGTTAATGAAGAGCACCCCGAGACACATGATCAGAAAGGCAATTTTATTGTCAAAACAAATAGTTTGTATAATATTTTAATTGCAGTTAAAATGCATACCATGAGAATTCCTAAAGACAGTGCTGTGTGTATTAAGCTGGCAACCTTGCTGTATTTTTGAATTTCCTGGTTTGCTTTCATTCCTAGTTAATGTGATAATTAGTTTAACATCATTACAGCTCTAAGCAGCCCTGTGCATAGCAAACTGCAGCTCTTCGACAGATGGCATACTCATATTTTTGTTCGAAAAAAACATGAGTTTAACAACTATGTTGCTTCTTAAAAATTTTAAAGAAAACAAATGCAAGAATATTGTCACTAATATTACCCTGAGTTTTATTTATTCTCTTTAATGGCAAAATTTAGCCTCTTGCTGAATTGGAGCGTATTTGTGGTAAATGAGTGTGTTCAAAAATGCCTTGTGTACATAGCAACAAGGTATGATAAAAAGCGGAGGTTCTTTCTAAACCTTTCCGTCTCCCCTCCCTATCACTCTGAGTACACATACTCTGTCAATATTGGCTCTAGAGACTAACCCTGGTCTCTGGAGATTTTTTGCAAATTCTGTATGAGATCTGTGATATGCCGTCACAGTGAAATCAGTGGCGTTGCAGAAAGCCCAGGACTGCCATAACACTTTATTAATAATTTATTAAATTTCAAAGCTCTTGTTAATGCTTTAACTGAATTGCGTGCTCTTACTTTTATACCCCCTTTCTTCCTGTTACCTGGATCAAAAGTTAATAGGAATGGCAAGTCAGAGAGTAGAAAGTAAACTAGATTGAAATAATTTTCTTTGTTTTTCAGTGGCTTTGTAGGAAGCTCTAATAAAAGTAGTTGGATTGGAGCTGCTTTGTCTAATTATATGTTTTTTTCTTTTGAAATAACTTAATGATGCGATAAGGAGAAAAATGTTATACTGCAAATCTGTTTGCGGAAAATGTCTTTTCAGTTCTCTTTAAACTATTTTTTCCCCTAGGTAAAGGTAAGCGTGTGCAGCCCCCCTGGTCTCCCCCTGAAGGGACAAAACATTCTAGGCTCTGCCTCTACAACAGCCTGACTCGCAATAAGGTGACTAAATTAAAGAAAAGTGGAGATTTCCATAGAAACACAAATAGAGAAGTCATCAAATGTTTGTTTCTTCAGTGTTTACCCTATCAGTAGACAGGTTTCTGGGTTGTATTTTGTGGAATGTTAACAAGCATGTGCCAGAGATGTTGTGTCAGTCAAGTGTGTTTGCTGGGCAATTGTTATAATACACAAAATAAATATACAAGTGTGTGTATGTGTGTGTATATTGCATAATATATAGTTCCCAATTGCAAGTTATCATCATGCAAAATAGCCAGGGGTTCAACTGTAATACACGTAAGTATAGGCAATGTGAACAGAATAAAATCACAGTTTCTTTCTTTAGATGTTTTCTGTGTAAAAAAAAAGTCTCGCCAATTATGTTATTGTAATATCAACCGGTAAAACTTCTTATGGTCTTGTTTGGAGGTCCTTTGGGAAAGAGAGGAAATATTAAAAATACTAATGTTATATGGGACATAGTATCCAAGTATGTGTGAAATGATTATACTCTGTAACCTCTTTCAATGCAAAAGAAAGCCTGATCTTCCCTTTTACAAAACAAACTTGAATAATGCTTGAATTATTACTGAATAATAAGCTTGAATAATGCCCTGCCTAGTCCAAATCTTTGTAATCTGATATTTTGATTGATAAGAATGCAGATAACATAAGCAGCCACACCCTGTTATCTCTCTTACATTATACATCTAGTGGTGATCTTTTCTTATGGTAAAACTGGGAATGGAATAACTATTCCTTTTTTTGTAATTATAATTCACGTTTTCATGTTCTAATCTCCAAATGTGGTATTACTGGCCTGAGATCATGTCTTCAATTTCTTCTTATCACTGTACCTTCCCTTTCAATTAAGGAAGTATTTCAGCCTCAGAATGGAAAAAAGGTCTTGTGGTATTGCTGTGGACCGACAGTTTATGATGCTTCTCACATGGGACATGCCAGGTACTGCAGTTCTGTGTTTTGATACAGGTAATAACAGTGCCTATTGGAAGCAAAATATTAATAGAAAAAGGTACTTTATTTAGATGAGTGTATTACTGGAAAATAGTCTTGTTAGACTCAACGCTTGAGATTTAAGATTAAAAGCATGTTACAATATTATGTCATTGTGTGATTAAAAACTTACTAGTAGATGAGGGAAAATTAAAACTGCAGTAACATTATTGACTCTGAGGTTAAAGTAGTTTGTGCATAGAACAGAAATAGGTTTGAGGTGTTCACTAAAAACACCCCTATATCTTTTATGATTTTAGGTCATACATCTCATTTGATATCCTGAGAAGAATCTTGAGGGATTATTTTAAATATGACATTTTCTATTGTATGAATATTACAGATATTGATGATAAGGTAAGGTCTTTTTAAATTGCAATCTAAAATACTGTACTTTGAGCATGGAAGTCAGTCGTATGTAATTGCCGTTTGATAAGCCAAGATAAATCTTAACACTTATTAACTTAGACATACATTTTGTACACAAAGTCATTGATTTTTCTCAGTTTTGTAGCATTCCTATACAACAAAGCCTGTATTCTTGTATGTAAATGAGTGTTGTCATAAATAATGAAGACTAAGCATTTTACAAAGATAACTTATTTATTTGCCTGTTGTTGGGATACCTAATTAACTCTGAGGTAGCTGATTAACTATGTATGGTGTGTTTAATTTGTATTACTGCATATAATTCTTGCAGTTTGTTAAAGTTATAGGGATTCTGAAATGCCTTTGGTACATAATAGATTTTATTTGTATTTTGTATAACTATATGTCGCTTCACAAAGATATATTCATGTTTCTGCTTTGTAGATCATCAAGAGAGCAAGACAAAATTACCTTTTTGAACGGTATAGAGAGAACAAATCAGCACCAGATCAGCTACTTGAAGATGTTAAAACTGCCTCAGAGGTGGGCATGGTATTTAATCCCTGCTAGTGTCTTAGGTTCTTATGCAATAATGTAGCAAAGCATCTAAAAAATGCCTCTGACTTTGCTACCTCCTTAAACTTTCTGCTTGTTTCAGTTATTCTATTGAACTGGTACCACACAAAATGTTACTGGAACTGCACATCACTTTGGTTTTCCATTGTTTTAGAATTGACAAGAACTAGCCGCGTAAAAGGCATGCCTGATTTGTATGTCCATAGAACTTGTTTGTGAGTGTGTGTATATTGTTGTTGGGGTATTGGGGAAAAAGCTCAAAAAGCATTTGGATGTTTGTGTGTTACAACTCAAACTTTAAAAATAACTGTTTAAAATAGTTTTTAAACAGTTGTATGTCCATGTTCTTTTAAAGCTTGTGAGATTTCTCTTCTGTACCATTGATGGCCTTGGAAAGAGCAAAAAGTCTCCAAAGCTTTAGGGATTTAATAAATTGTGTATGCTGGACTGAACGTGGGGGAAGGTGATTCACTGGCCATTTTTAGAATAACAGATCATAAAGAGATTATCAGTCTAATGAATTGAATACAGGCCTGGGAATAGGAGGCCTGGCAATTTTGCCCAACTGTCATTGTCTGACATATTCTCTAAGCATAGCATTTAATCTATGTTTCACATTATAGCTTCTTCTTTTTAGATTTGTGATAATCAACTCTCTAATTAAGGTGATCAACTGCATAGAAAATGAAAATTACTGAACAACAGTAATGATGATGCAGTAACTTATAAAGTCCGTCTGAAAAACTGAATTCGGATGTGAACTAAATTATTTTGACTTCACCTTTATTTCTGATGAGGAGTATGCTTCAGTAGTTTGATATCAAACCTTTTTATGTAGCATAATGTATTGTTCATCACTAGCAAGGTACTATGTGGCTAAGATAATACATTGTGTATGGAACATAGCACCACTGTACTGCAAGTTGCTTTCTAATTTTTTTTTAATTGTAGCTCTTTTCAGTTAAATTAAATGAGACAACAGACCCAGATAAAAAGCAAATGTTGGAAAGAATTCAAAATGCAGTGAAGTCTGCTTTTGACCCTCTACAAGAAGCTGTGGAAGCGAAACTCCCTGCAGAAGAGATCAACAGATGTCACGAGGTCAGTTTGAGCTCCTTTTTAAATTATATTTGGCTTATAATTGTTAGGGGTTTTAAAAATAATATTTAGCTGATAGTAATTCCCGGAAACATTACGGAAATTTTTATTCATGAAAAGAGGAATGGTGTGCATGAGGACTTTTTCGTACTTTGCATTCAGTACAGCAAATTGATCCTTGAATTCAACTATATAGTTTTTGGATGCTGTTTTTATCAATGACTTTTTTTTTTTCCCTCCCACTGTGATAACTACTCAGTTATTTTTACCTTTCCAGCAGAGTTTTTTCTCTGGCATATATTTAGACTTTTTCTTTGGCTTTTTTGTGTTGATGGATTAGTTTCGGTATAAATTACTGAACATGCGTTTATGACATTCCAGTACTGGTGGCAGTTTTCTACACAAGTGTTTCCATCTCTGATCAGAGAAGAAAATACATCCCAAAAATTATGCTCAGGATAATTTTTATCCAAAGACCATTACATTTAGTGACAATAATCCTGCTGACTTTACTGGGCTTTGGTACTGTCCGGGTAACCAAGTCAGTCAATATAGCTACTGTCTTTTAGTAATTGGTTTCCACTTTCATCTTTCAGATTATTTGTGATAATTACTGTAGGAAGCATAGGGTATGTGCTCCTTTCTTGAGAAGACTCTCTTTCTAAATTATCTTTTTAAAAAAAGTCCAGCTATTCTAATATTAAACGCCTTTATAAAAGTGTACACTGACCTAACAATTTTAAAAACAACTAAAATCTAAGCAATCACACCTTTTGGGCTATATCCTATTGTAAAAAAAAGTCATCTTTTAATATAAGACTGAAATGTATCCTTGCTGATGTTCAAATTAGTCTTTCAAACACTTTTTAGCAATGTCCACAGTAAGGCTTCTGTTAGGATTATCCAGTCGTAATGGGGGGAACAGATGATGTGATATAACTGCAAGTCCCATCCAGTGTTTACAGCATAAATTCCACATGCCTATTTAAGTGATTGATATCAAACCAGATATCGCTTATCAGTTTATCTTCCTTCCTCTGTTTATTTCATCCATATTTATGAAGGGCAATATGATAAAAATCTGGTAGAAGCATGGATTACTCTGTATTCATAGCCAAGTGTCTTTTTTCTTCAGCAAACCTTTCTGTTCAGAATAAGGTCTTTCTCCAGAGTTTAAACGGGGCAAGTCTTTGATCAGTTGCACTTACAATTATTGTTTTATAGATACTGTTGGAAGAAGCCAAGGATTTGCTGTCTGACTGGTTGGACACAAAATTTGGCAGTCAGGTGACTGACAATTCCATATTCTCAAAGCTCCCCAAATTCTGGGAAGGGGAATTTCATAAAGATATGGAAGCACTCAATGTAAGTAAACAAACTGTTTTCTGTTCTAAAAGTGTATGCGCTATGCTTCATAATACCCAGAATACAATTCGGCTCCTTAACAGCTTTCAAAACCTTCATATTTCAACCTTATTAATAAAGTATTTCCTTTAACGGGAATAGGTAGCTGTTAAATCAGCACCTGTTCTGTTTCCATCCCAACAATCTTAAATCCATTGTGCATGTTACCAGAGCCAGTTAACTGGTGATCAAGTTTGACGAGTGCACTCCATCCCTTCCCCTTGGTGTAACATGGGCTTCTAAAATGATCCAGAAGTTTGAGATAGAGTCTGTTAGCTGCACAAGAGAGCTCTGCCAGCCTCGGCATTTAGACTGACTACTTAGTCTTCAGCCACTAAGAAATTATGTGATGATAACAATCAAGGACAGATTTGTCTGTTACAGTTGAAATGCCGTGTCATGTGCAATGGTTCAGATCAGTGAAGGTTTATTTATTTACCTGCAAATCAGAGGGACTTACTGCATGTTCTGTCAGAAGTGCAATAAGCAGAAGAGCTGGCATCTCCTGCAGTAGTTTGTTGTTAACACTGCCTTAAGGGCTGAGGAAAAAATGGCCACAGCACATTGTTTCAGGGCAGAAAGCTTGAAATAGGAGTCTTAGATTCTACTGTCACTTGCTTTTGAGCCAATTTTTAACCAACGTATAATATATATATTTGATGCATATTTGCATATGCATAAATATTTCTATATACATATAAAATTCTACTTTTTATCTATAGGTTTTACCTCCAGATGTTTTAACACGGGTTAGCGAATATGTGCCAGAAATTGTGGATTTTGTGAGAAAGATTGTGGATAATGGTTATGGGTAAGTTTACTACTGGATGCTTTTGTTGTGCGCTTATACTGTGTCAGAGCTAGAATGATTGCTTTCAACTTAACTGTGAACTGTTTCTCTGTTTTTATATGCAATAGTAGTCTTTTCCAGAAGTAACGTTTAATCAAATAAAGAAACTTCACATTCATCAAATAGAGAAATTTCAGGTTCCTTTGCAAAAGACCTCTTATTTCTCACCTGATGAAAATGTGCTATTCTATACTTCCTATGATGTCTTACAAAGATAGAAGTTAGACCATTAAATTTACAGGGTGAAATCCTCATTGATTAAAATAAATAGTCCCATTCACTTGAACTGTGTTTGACTCCTGGCCTTCAGCAAGGGGTTTCAAAAGTGGATACTTGAGTAGATGGCTAGAAATCATTGTAAATAACATAAGTTAAAAATAAAAAGTAATCACGAACTGTTTTTCTGCCATTGTCTAATATTCTAATATTGGTGAAAAAGCAAGCTAATACTCTAGAAGTTCCTAAGTATCATAATAGATTCCTATCTGAAATTTTTGAGTTCTCTTTCTGTTAATAGCCTCAATTTTTTGACATGGACATATTTTTATTGTGAAAAAAGCAAACCTGTGGTTCAGACTGCCATAATTTCTCTTGCATGTTCTTTCTTTAAACTTACATTTTAAAATTTTCTCAAAAAGAAAGGGGTGGGGGACAGTTCAAAATTATTTACACTGAATTATCAGCTTTCCTGGTGGTCCTGAAACTTACCTTTGTGTCAGAGTTTTTATTATGGCTGTAGTGGGACAAAATAAGCAAAGTGAAAGAGGACAAAATGCACTGTGAAACAAACATGATTCATATTACATTATTGCAAAATATTGAAAGGGGCCAGAAGTATTGTAGATCTTTCTTCTCTTGGGACTGTTATCTGACATCTCACCTCTTAAGAGTTTAACAAAAGATGTTAGTTGTTTTCCCTTTGATCAATTTTATTCTGACTTTCCATGATTTGTCTTTATTGTAAGGCCTTAAAACTTAGTCATCTTTACAATACTGAGCAGTACCATACTGTATGTGGTTTCACTAGAGAACTGAAGTCTAAGACAGTGATTTTTGGGATAAAATTCAGTTAAGTCTTGGTAGAAAGTCAGCTATATAATGATCTTTAACTTTTCAGGTATGTGTCCAATGGGTCTGTATACTTTGATACCATGAAGTTTGATTCTAGTGAAAAACACTCCTATGCTAAGTTGGTTCCTGAAGCTGTAGGTGATCAAAAAGCTCTTCAAGAGGGTGAAGGTAAGAAGGGGAAATAACATTTGCTTAAGTTGCTGAAGAAACTGATGATGTGTTGATCTCTTCAATTGATTTCACTGACGTTTGGGTCAGAGTTACTGTCAAGAGTTGAATGGTATACCTGCTGTACTTCCTTTACCAATAGATTTCTTTTCCAAAGTTTTGTAGCTTGAGCCAGCACTTTTCTGAAAGTTTTTAATTGGAAAATACCAAGAAATGTTATTCATTCTAGGATGTTTTTGGGTTGGTTTTGTTTGTTTGTTTGGGGGTGTCACAATTGTGAATAGGTCAGTCATTTGACTATAGCCCAGTTATTTAGCTGTTCATCTGGTTCACATTAGGAGGAGCAAAGACTTGGAGCTGGGTCTTCCACATGCCAGGTGAAAGCTTTCCACATCAGGCTGTGGTTATTTCATGACAAATATTTGGATTCCTCTTTCCTACTGAGAGCTCTTCTTACTTTGTAAACCTTGTTGTGTGGAACTAAGTCCAGATATAGATTTTTTTTGAGTCAAGCCATAGCAGAGGAGTAGCTTAAGATGCTCAATAAACCAGACTCACTAGTTATCTGCTCCTAAGGTTGTACAGTTTAGTAGTAAATAATCCACAATGTCTATCAGAAGACTATTAAAAGGTTTTTTGTGTAACACTCATACTAGGTGAGATTAGGGCACTCATACTAGGTGAAACTCGCAATATCTGAGAGATGCAGCTTAAAATTGGTATGATTGTTTTTCTTCTTATTATTTGAAACCCTTATAGCTGAAATCTTCTATGTGAAATAAAAGGTGCTAGCTTAAACTACCATCTTTGTGGTAGCATGAATGTATCATTTCCACCACGTAACCAGTCACTTTTGTTGAATTGTTGCATCCTTTTGCAAATAGGAAACCGATGCTGAGTGATTAATGGAACTAACCAAGAGTATGCATGCGTCAAGTTATTGCTTGTCAGCTTAGCTGCTTTGACTCATTTGTCATGATTGTCCTTACCCTGACAGATAACATCATTTTTACTACTATAGGCAGCAGAAATGCCAAGCTTTGAAAGTTGCAATTAATGTAAATAAAAGCATAATAATTTTATATTTAAAGTGCATAATGTTAAATATTCTAAACAATTGAGATTGCAGGTATCTCAACCTGTACATCAAAATCAATTGACAAGTTTAACCTTGACAATTTTGTCTTTAATCCCTCTTGGACTCTTATGCGGAAGGTGGTATTGTTAACCACTTTTAGTCTTGGACAGTACTGCAGAAATGGTAAATTTCCTGTGTTTTAAAGATGTTACAATGAGAGTACCACCTAAATGTTCATAAGGAGCTAACAGGAAATAATGCATAACACATCTGTCACGGTAGCAAAACAGTAAACATAGCTATTGAACAACTCTAGCCATTCTGCGCAGCAACTGAGATTAGGGGTGGAAGAAACCTGTGATCATGTTGTGTGTGCAGATTAAGACAATCCTAGTCTTAATTTGGATCCTTCTAACTTTAGAGTGAATTGATTCTTCAGTTTTACTTGTCTATGAGTATAGGGGGTTTTGTTTCTGCATGTCTTTTTTGGTAACTGTAATATTGGAATTGTGCCTGAAGAGAGAATGTAGATGAATCTCATGTCAAAACTTAGAAAGCAGTGCAGCTGATACTTGTTGTCAGATTTCCTGTCAACTAATCATTAACCAAAAACCCAAAGGATTATCAAGGTTAATTATGAGGAATTTTGAGGGCTGAGTGCTTTTCTTCTCTTTTTTTTTTTTTTTTTTTTAATTCACTTGATGTGAGGTACAGTGAGGCCAAAAATCAATAATGCTGGTGTTTAAATAAAATGTATATATTTACATTTTCTCTTTTGAAAGGTGACCTGAGCATCTCAGCTGATCGCTTAAGTGAGAAGCATTCTCCAAACGATTTTGCTCTGTGGAAATCCTCCAAGCCAGGCGAGCCCTCATGGGACTCTCCATGGGGAAAGGTAAGGACATTATAATGAGGATTTAGATCTTCTACACCTTAAAATAGCCTGTTACACAAATACTTTGCCTCACCTCATATTAATAATGTATAGTTTATGGAGACCTTGTATTCAATTGTAGATTCTGTTGCCATGTTCATTTAATACTTTAGAATGAGTATCAGTCTGTCTGTCTGTCTGATACTTTTTAAACAGAAGTCTGCATGCAGGCTGATGATGGCTGTTACTGGTCATTTGTCCTCTATTTATCTACAGGCTTTATCTGCAGTAATTTCTATATCCTTTTTTTTCCCTTCGTGATCAAAACATTAATGTAATTTTAAAAAGAATAATAAGCAGGATAATCAAAGCATCACAGATGCTTTGATCTTTAAATCCAACAGTATACTTTTATGACTCTGAGACTGAGAATCTTTTTTTCTTGGTAACACTGCATCTCCTTTCCTCAGGCGTGTAACTGCTTAGGGGCGGACCAATGAGGCAATGATACATAGGCAGGAGAGGAAGATAATTACCTAGTAGCCAAGGAATGTCTTTTTCTTAACAGGGTCGTCCAGGTTGGCACATTGAATGTTCCGCAATGGCTGGATCCATTCTAGGAGAGTCAATGGATATTCATGGAGGAGGATTTGATCTCCGATTTCCCCACCATGACAATGAACTGGCACAGTCTGAGGTGAATGAACTGGCCTTCAGTTTTTGCAGTGAAAAAGTGACATGCTTTGCTTTGACTGCAACTTACACAAATCCATCAATTAATTTTTAAAACTTTATGTGTGTTTTGTATAAGCATAACTTTTTGTTCTCGGGATTTTATTCTTAAATTATCCTACTTCATGCTATGTATGTAAACAGTGTTGGGTCTTTGGGGTTTTTTGTTTTTGCTGCAGGCATACTTTGAAAATGATCACTGGGTTCGGTATTTTCTGCATACTGGCCACTTAACAATTGCTGGCTGTAAAATGTCCAAATCTTTGAAGAATTTCATTACCATAAAAGATGCACTGAAGAAACATACAGGTAAAAATTACTTTGGAATTTGAATGCTTTTGATGTACTTTGAGTGGTGACTGTGGTAATTCTGTTATTCAGGCACATAATGGAGTTTCCAAAAGCGGCTAACTTCAGGTGTCTGTCTTCTTCACTAGCTTTAAAACGGTTTCCTTGTTCTTCTGTTCCTTGTTGGTATTATCTGTATGGATAATAGTGTTCTTGCTTTTTTGGTAGATAGTAAGAATATGAAAAATTATGTTCTTAGCCACTGCAGTATTGGAGGCCATAAAAATGCTTTAGATTATGATTATTTTCCTTGTTTATTTTGAAACTCCTAATAGCACGACAGTTACGGTTGGCTTTCCTCATGCACTCTTGGAAGGATACACTGGATTATTCAAATAATACCATGGAATCAGCTATTCAGTATGAGAAGTTTATGAATGTAAGTAAGCTTTCCGTTCCTCCTCCAGCTCCTTAAGCTTTGTGTTGTCATATGTGTTTCAAGGAATAGAACCCAAGGATATACAGGCCATATCCACAGACTGAGTTTGCCTTCTGAATTCATCCGGTGGGATGTCACAGTATTTGTTTAGTACCGTTGAACATTCAAGTCATGCACATTCCACAGACAGCCGCATTTCTCTGCAGCTGGGTGCTCTCTCTCCAAGTTTTGACATCTCTGAGCAGCTTGGCACTTACAAGCAAGATTAGTTTCTCAGTTCAGCTTGCTCATAGGACTCAGTCCAACAGACATTCTCATAACGTGTCTACCAGATCAGACTTTACACAAATATAGCCAAAGGGGAAGAGGGAGTATCATTCCTACCTTGTCTCCTCACCACATACATTGAGCATTTGCCTGTGTGTCTTGTGGGCATATGTGAGGGGTCAGGCACAGTTCCTTTCCCTGCTTAGTCTGAAGCTGTGATTTAAACCCACGTTTCCCACAAGGAGGCTGTACAGCATTTTGAGATCATTGATCTTGGTCTCTCCAGCTGAAGCTATTCTGCTTTTTATGTAAAATGTTTGGTTTGGGCCACAGAATAAGTGAAAGTGGCTTTTCACCAAACTGGATGCCCACATAAAATGGGCCCTCACTATAAAGCCATTTTTATTCTTCAGCTTCTGTTGCTAGCAACACACTTAAAAATCTTCCATAAGAACTCTTGCCTAAACGTTTTTAAAATGGTATTGTATTTGAGCAGTTTGGTATCATAGTGTATCATGCAGTGGCAGAGCCAAGAGATGGAGCTGAATTACAGTCCAACTGTGATTTACAGAGTTATGCAAAATGTGTGCGTTTCCTTGTTTTGACAGACATTCAGTAGATCCTGGCTGAAACAGTGTTGAAACCATAAACTTTAGCAGGTTAATTAAGAAATAATGCCCTTTTGTAGTAAATATTGGTTGGGTCTAACTTAAACTGATTTTTAGCTATATTCTTCTTTTATAGGAGTTCTTTTTAAATGTGAAGGATATTCTTCGAGCTCCCACTGATGTGACAGGCCAGTTTCAGAAATGGGAAAATCAGGAAGCAGACCTGAACAAAAAGTGAGTGGAGCATTCCTACTTCTCTGTGAACAGCCATTGTGTACCTACGTGATTAATTTTTTATTTCCATGACTTACTATGTAAATAGTGATATTTTATAAGTCTGTAGCATTTCCACTGAGTACCCCAACTCTATACAAGCTAGTGAATTTAATCTTGCAACAGCTTTATGAAGTATAGATGAAATTGTTCATTTCCTTTTAGTTTATATTAAGTACACTGGCATGCCTCATTGCCCTGTTTAGTGAAGGGAGAGAGAACTTTTTTGTTAGATAGCTGTTATTTTCTTCACTACTTGAAATGCTGTCCTTCTGTCTGAGAAGTGACCAATAATTCAGAGAGGTTACAACTGCAAAAATAGTATTTTACACATTTAAAGTGCAGTGAGCAAACTGAGACAAACAGAAGTTAAATGACCTGACTAAAAGCACAAAAGATCAGAGTGCCAATGTGCCAGTGTTTGAAAATCTGTTATTGAGAGATACAGTGATATCAATATTGCAGTCTCACTTCTATAACAAAATGACATTATTGTTTGTAATACAACAGCTTCCTATATGACTTCTGTTATGAGTGAAATTTAAAATAGAAGCATCTTATGTTGCAGTACTAAAATCATTCCTAGTTCAGTTCATTGTTGTGAACAGAGATGTTGACTACTGAAGGACCAAGTGCAGATGCTTCTGTTTAGTGATGTCCTCTGACAATTTCATCTTCAGTTTGAGGTTGGTAGAGATAACCCCTTTTTTTAAAAAAGGGGGAAGATAGTAAGTAATAGAGAGATCAAAGGGAAGGGACAAAGGAGTGGGAGGAACAGAAGATATGCTTCATGGATATTTGTTTTTGTCTCCTTTCTCTACCACTTCTCATTTTCTTTTCTCTGGAAAAAGTATGTTGTTTGAAACAGTAGTACCCCTTGCATGATTAAATGGTATTAATATACTGTATTACTTCTTATGCCTATTCATGAACATTACAAAGGTTTACATGAATTTATTCCTTGAATCTGCTTGTAACAGCTTCACAACACTGTACTTTGTGGTAAGTTAACTTCCAAATTGGTGCTTCTTGCCGGAAAGATACTAAACAGAGTACTTGGCTGGTACATAGGGCTAAGAGAGCAATGCTGTTAAAAAAAAAAGTAAGCACAAGAAGGTACTAAATAAGCAATTTACACTGCTTTTAAAAACTTGTATGAAAAGGTCAGTTGCTGAAAAAGTGTTAGATGTAATTTGTTTGGATAGTTGTTGCCAATTAGATTATCTTGCCTTTCTTTGTCTGTAGCAGCAAAACAACATTATCGTGATGATGCCTTTTTCTCGCTCGTTTGTTTTTCCTTCAAATATAAACTATGACCAACAAAAGATTATCTCACTTTTAGGTCCCCTTACTCTTCTAACAGAAGTTCTTCAGAGTAGGTTGCAGATACTTTTGACATAAATAGTAAAAAAAAAAAATTTTTTTCTTCTTAGTTTTTACGACAAGAAGGCAGCAATTCATGAAGCACTGTGTGACAATATTGACACTCGCTCTGTCTTAGAAGAAATGCGTTCGTTAGTCAGTCAGAGTAACTCCTATATTGCTGCAAAGAAATCTTCCAGACAAATGCCAAACAGACTTCTTTTAGAAAACATCAGTTCCTATCTCACTCAAATGCTAAAGGTATGTAATAGCAAGTAGTAGTGTTGCTATTGCACTGTGCAATTTTAACTGTTGTATTTTTCAAGTATGTAGGGATCTGTACAGTCTTTGTTTAAATCTTGCAGGAAAACTAGAGATCTTCCACACACACCCCAACCAAAACAACCCCAAACTGTAGTGTGTGCTGCAGCAGGAACAATTTGGAGTCCTTTATGTTACATTATAATTTCAGCTAATGTTTTGTTGAATAGTGGAGAGCCCCTAATACATGCAAGGAAAATCAGACAGTAGAAAAAAATATGAAGTCAGAATGTCAAATCTGACAGCTTTAAAGCTAAAGATGAAAGCCAATGCTTAGTATGCTTTATCAATTAAAACCCCAAACATCATCTTATTAGAGCAGTGAATTGTGGGTTAAATGAGAACTAAGTGGCTTCAAAACCCTAGTACATGTGATTTTGCTTAGTTTTCACATACCTGTGACTTGATGTATACAATCTTTTCTTTTCTTTTTTCTTTTTTTTTTTTTTTTTTTCTTCCCTTGACCAGATTTTTGGTGCCATAGAAAGTGATGACGCAATTGGTTTTCCTGTTGGAGGGAATAGTCAAAACATAAATGTAAGTGAAGGACAAAGTACACTATACAAAATTACTCTGTGTCCTTTGAAAGCTTAGGTTAGATAAAGTGATTACATTACTGATATACAGCCAAATTACATTCTTTCTGCTTTTAACATTTGAATGTGAATTAATTAATTGGCTTAGGAAGCAGGATTTTTCTTTTATGAGAGCTGGGTTTTTTTATAGGTTTGTTTGGCTTAATGACAGACAAATTGTATAGCAACCAGAAAAAGAATTATCTTGTCTTCTGAATGATGAGTCTGTTTAAGAAACCACATGTTAACTACAGACAGCACATGCTACAGTCTAAAGACTCATTACAAGTATTTGTATGTTAAGTAGTTTCAAAAATATAATTATACTGATTAAACTTCCTTGTGGTACACCAAAAACCAGCCTGGAGGCAGCTGGAGTTTTATCCACATTTCAATCTCTCTTTTTCTGATCTCATTTGTACCCTCAGTTTTTATCTGGCTTTTGAAGGCTGTTTTGCTTTGGTCATCCAGCAGTTCCACTGCGATGCAGAATTTTTCTGGAAATACTCGGGAGATACCTGATGAAAGTGCTGATGGGCTCTGTAATAACAGTAAAATTTCGTGGTGCAGGCAGGAGAAATAACTCCATATGAAAGCTATCAACTTTGCTCTCTTTGTTCATGTGAAAAATTCGACATGGACAAATCAGTGCTGTTTTTCAAGTATGGTCACACCTTTGAATGCAGAAAAATATGTTTTTCTTTTTCTTCTTAGAAGGAATAATTAAAACATTTGTGGTGTAACAAAAAAGCTAAACTTTTTATTCATCAAAGGAAGAGGAAAGCTTGCTTGTGGCTGAAGAATGTGAATGAACACTCATCTGATAATTGCCCATGCAAATACTTACATTACTGTGCTGGGGAAATATCCGGTAATGATATAACAAGGATAATAAGGAAGACGCTCAGTATTCCATACCAAAGCCCAACAATAGTGAATTTTAATTTAGCTCAGAATTATTCTGAATTTCAGGAGAAAGGTAGCACCTTAACACTTACCTTTTGAGGGAAAATGAAAATTAAATTCATATTTAGCATTTCATTCAGGCAGTTTTTACAACAGATATGCTTTATGGAAGGATTGGCAATAGCTTGGAACAAGAAACTAAACCCTTTCACTTCTTTAAGGTAACGTTGCCAAGGGTAGTAGAGTCAGAAGAATCTTGTGCAGAAAGAATCCTGTGCTAACACCTGTTAGCACACTTGTCAGAAGAATCTTGTGCTAACACTTGTTACACACAAGAAACTTCTGGTTTTATCACCTAGGACTTTACTGGTTTTAAGCATTATAACATAAAGATGCATAATATCACAAATGTTTTGGCTGGTTCATTAAATATTATACGCTCTTTCAGTCTTCCATGCAGATACTTATTTTTCTTAGCAAAAATTACCAGGTGAACGTTCAAGGTTGGAAAACTTCTCAACAATTACAGAAGGCTGTGGATTGGGCCTATTATTTCTTTGCCTAAATTGGAGATGAAGGAACCAATAGAATCATTATCTCCAAAAAAGGCATAATCCTCTTCAAAAGCTCTGAAGCGACAACTACCTTAATTACCGTGGTTCAGTAATTTACTTGAAAGGGGATAGAAGAGATTTGAAGTCAGAAAACCTCAGGTTCCATAGTCTCATTTTCCAAATGAATTAGGCATTGCTGTCAAGTTAGTTATTCTGGGGATAAAAGTCTTTCATCATTAAATGACTGATAAAGTAGTGACAGTGCATGCTTTCCTGACACCACTTCATTTGCATGTTGAGCTAGTTTCAGTGTAGAGGGGGTAGTGGAGGTGTGACTGTTGCTCACTTTCCAGAGTCTGTTCTTTCTGCCAGACTTGTCAGCAATGGTTCCAGTTGTGAAGCTGATTGCATAGTATTCACATTTATGAAAAGTTTTAATGGAGCCGCTCAGCTCCTTTCATATGGGCACTTTTTAGAGCATAACAGACTATCTATCTTGTCTGTTAATCGCACAGAAATTTGTCATGGAGATTTAACAGATGGGAAAGACAAGAGGAAACTGTAGGGGAAACAAAGTGGACATTTTTTTCTCTCTCTTCCCCACCCTCCAAAGGAATGAAACTTTTAATTCAAGCAGTCCCTTGGGTGCCTGGCTTCTCCTCTTGGGATTCCAGAGAAGCGTTGGCAGACAGCGCTGATCTGTAGTTGTTTTTGTAATTGTTCAGTGCTGTTCACTAACTGCTTGCTGATGCTGTTCTCTACCATTGTCAGCAGGATTCTGAAGACTTTTACTTTGAGCTTTCATGACCAGTATTTACTTACACCTGAAATAATTCAACAGTAATCTCTCCCCACTTTTTGGGGGGGAGGGACTATTGTGAGGAATACAGACAACTGCACCATATTGGAAAGAAATACAATTAGCATAAGCTAACATCTGAAAATAAGTCCTAACATCAGTTTCACCTGCTATTGTGTCTGACAAGCAGTTGGACCTCAGTAAGACAGCACAGAACACGAAGGGGCAAATTTGTCTGGGTGCTGTTTTTATCCCTGTACTGCATTATAGTTAGCTGGACTGTAGCATAACCCTGTGGAACTGATGTATCTGTAACTGAAAGGAGATGAAAAAGGAATGGGGAGAGGCAGAACTTCACAAGCTGATTTTTGTCTGCACAAAAGGAAAATTGATAGCTAATGCAAATTATCGTTTATCCTTTGACATCAATAGAGCAAGGACAATTTGTATTGATCCAGATCAGCTCCGAGGGCCAAGTTCCATCCAAAAGCACATAAATATGAAGTGGGTAAGGACACGTTCTATATCTAAATGATGATTAGCTAATTGTAGAAATAATTATCCTGCAGATTGAATCTACAGTGATGCCATACCTGCAAGTTCTTTCTGAGTTCAGAGAAGGAGTACGACAGATTGCCAGAGAGAGGAAAGGTGAGTGTTGACTTTTTCCTGTGTTGTTGCACATGAGACTCAGAGGTCGTAAGAATCAAACTGGGGAGTGGGGGTGGGGGGTGAGGCAGCTGATACAGTCTTTCTTTGCTTAGAGGATATAAGTAAGGCATAGAACCATAGAATGGCTTGGTCTGGAAGGGACCTTAAAGATCATCTAACTCTAGCCCCCCTGCCATGGGCAGGGATGCCACCCACTAGACCAGGTTGCTCAGGGCCCCATCCAACCTGGCCTTGAACACTGCCAGGGATGGGGCGACTACAGCCTCTCTGGGCAACCTGTTCCAGTGCCTCACCACCCTTTGAGTAAAGAATTTTTTCCTAACATCTAATCTAAATCTCCCCTCTTTCGGTTTGAAACCGTTCCCCCTTGTCCTATCACTATCTGCCCTTATAAAGAGTCTCTTCCCCTCTTTTATATAAGCCCCCTTTAAGTCTTGGAAGGCCACTATAAGGTCTCCCCCGAATCTTTTCTTCTCCAGGCTGAACAACCCCAACTCCTTCAGCCTGTCTTCATAGCAGAAGTGCTCCCCCCCTCTGATCATCGTAGTGGCCCTCCTCTGGATCTGTTCTAAAAGGTCCACATCTTTCTTGCGCTCCAGAGCTGGATGCAGTGCTCCAGGCAGGGTCTCACGAGGGCAGAGTAGAGGGGGAGAATCACCTCCCTTGACCTGCTGGCCACGCCTCTTCTGATGCAGCCCAGGATACGGTTGGCTTTCTGGGCTGCTAGTGCACATTGCTGGCTCATATCCAGCTTTTCATCGACCAGGACCCCCAAGTTCTTCTCTGTGTGGCTGCTCTCAATGAATTCTTCTCCCAGTTTGTACTCATGTCTGGGATTGCCTCGACCCAGGTGCAGCACCTTACACTTGGACTTGTTGAACCTCATTCGGTTCATATGGGCCCACTTCTCAAGCTTGTCCAAGTCCCCCTGGATGGCATCCTGCCCTTCAGGTGTGTCAACTGCACCACTCAGCTTGGAGTCATCCACAAACTTGCTGAGGGTGCACTCGGTCCCACTGTCTATGTCATTGATAAAGACATTGAAAAGCACCGGTCCCAAGACAGAGCCCTGAGGGACACCACTCATCACCGGTCTCCACCTGGACGTAGAGCCATTGACCACAACTCTCTGGATGCATCCATCCAGCCAATTTCTTATCCATCGAATAGTCCACCCTTCAAATCCGTATCTCTCTAATTTAGAAATAAGGATGTCGGGTCAGTAAATCAGAACTGGTTTGAATATTTGCATCTCTGCTACTTGTCTCTTTAATTTGGGAGTCTTTTACAGGCTGCTAAACTAATTTTCTTTTAATTTCCTAAAGAATCTAAAAGTTCTGGAATGACGAGGACTAGCTGTTGTTTCTCTAGATTAGGGCATTCCCTGCTTTCTAGCTATCAAAGTACCCATGAGCTCTTCCCCCAGGGAGCTTGCATTCTCTTAAAAGTGTAGCTTGCTACACAATGATACTGTCTGTGTTTAAATAGGCTGAGATGTTCGTTCTTATTAGCATAGTTGGAGTTGTAGCTCCTCAATGGTAGTTGAGTGCTCTCTTTGGAGAATTCATCTGGGAGTTTGGTAGAAGTTGTTCTGGGCACATTTTTTCCCCCCCTTCTGAAAAGCTTTGATCATGCTGTGTGTGTTGGCAGCAGAACTATATAGTGTTAAAAAGGTTGTTCCATTAAGCCCTCTTTGATTTTACTGGTTGATTAGTTCCTAATGGAGCTCTTACTATTTTCTGCTGTTCCCTGTGGAATTTGACATGTCTTCAATACGTATTTAGTTCTTGTTTTCTTAAAACTTTTTTACACTGAGATTTGTACTTGAAGGCAAAATAGGGCATTTTTATATATAAAACATATATAAATATCCTATATATTATACAGAAATATAAAATTACTTGTAGTGTCTGGTTGATAACCTATTCAGCTGGCAAAGGATCTGAACCCTAATTCTGCTACTGTTTTGAGTTCTTCCAAGGGCTAATAAGTTTACCTTAAAAGCACAAAACTGTATTTGATAATGTGACTACTCAGCTATTACTGTCAAACTCCTATAGGCCTAATTGATGCTGAGAAATAGGCTTATTAGTTCCAACAGCAAATATTTTCTGTAATTTGAATTAATTCAAGAAGTTTGTGTGTGTATCCTCAACCAAAAATGTGACTTTTCGTCTTTCAATATTTAATGTAAATACTCATTTTATATGAGGCTTTTTTTTCCTTGCTTTCTGAGGGCTGAGTTAAACTGATCCTCACTCTTAACAGTGGTAAGGTTTAAATATCACGGGGCTTCTTGTAGATCATTTTTAGAACACACTTAGCGCTAGACTGCTTACTGGCACTTGAGTTTCTTACTTGGAAGGTATTGATTTTTTGCCCGAAATAAATCGGGCAGTAAGAATACAGCTGGATCTAGTTGCTATTTGGTTGGGGTACAGAGCACTCTGCAGTTTGACCAGGGCGGCACCTTTCATTAAACTATTTGATATATGGAAGCTGAGTGGTGGTTGGCAGGACCTGCACTGACATGCTACTGATTTGGTTCCCTGTACCCATTAAATTCTTGCTTGCAGGAACTGTTCAATTACTGTAAAAGTTGTTCTGATTAATGGCTGGGGATATTGCCTCTACATGGTTGTAAGTGAAGGGAGTTTCCCCATCATAGCCCGATGCTGGCAGGATGGTGTTAAATATTAATTAATATGATCTATATTGCTTTAAGTATTCTTAGAGGTTACATAAAAAGTATGCTGCTTCTGTAAAACCTGCAGAGTAATACAAATGTCCCCATCCATATATATATAACTTTAAAAAGTGTACCTATACTTATAAAACATTTCACAGAATAGCCATTTGTAAAACTTTGTTGTAATACTTTGATTTGTAAGAATCAAAATGTATATACGAAAATTTTGCCATCATCCAGAATCGCTAACATTCAAACATATTAATAAAATTAATTCTCTATTTTATAAGCTTATTAGTACGCAAACTGGAGACATGCACTGATCATTTGCAGTTGAGTCTTGACTTAATTTGTGAACATATCTAGCAATGATGGTAAACAGAAAAAGGAAAACACTGTGCTAGCTGTACAAGGGAAAGAAATACAGAAAACCTCTGCAAAAGACATCAATGATTGGTTGGTCAGAGCATCTCTATATTGCGCATCCTGATGTTTTACTTGAGTACTGACCAACTGCAAAGACCCCATATAGTTGTCTCTGCAAAGATGCCCAGTGGAGCAGAACTGTGCTGTAGTGCAGCCCCCGATCCTTGGGAAGAATTCTCATTAGTAACTTATTGTTATTCAGATGTCCAAAAGGAGCAAGTCTCTTCAGTTGTTGTTGGTTACTTACCTCAGGACATCTGCTTAAATTGACTACCCTGTGGTAAAGGTATCCGTGACTGAACTCTGTATGCTGCTTCTGTAAAACCTGCAAAGGTACCACATGCAAAGAACAGGCACATTTCAGCCCTGAGAATCACGGTGCTGACTCCTCTGGATGACAGAGGATTGATCAGAGGATGTGTCCTTTCATAAATAATACATGTTTTGTTATACATTTCTCATTATTCTCTACTTGATGGATTTCTTCTTCTTACACTTTCAATTATTCATGATTTCAGATAAGTAAATATTTATAACTGAGCAGACACTGTTTTACTGAATAAGCAGTAGGTTTATCTCATACATTCTTGATAGGACACATGTCATTCCTTTGCCTAGGTTAGAGTCAACACCTTTTAGTGCTAACAGCCAGTGAGGTAATCTTATCCCTTGTTTATCTTAATGGCTTCTTTAGAGTTGTATCAAACGTGAATGTGGTTCACTGTGTATAACTGCTCTGGATTAAGAAAAATAACAACTTAGTTCACGGCAGACAAAAGAGCTTCTATAAAATGCAGTGCTTTTCTATACAAAGAGAGAGTCGCAGAACACTACCATGCAATGAAATAGGGTGGCTGTTCCTTTTTATGGGATTAGGATAGTCGGTGCTCTGTTCACTGTTCAGCTCTCTGAGGCTCTGAGAATTATGGACGAGATGAAGGCTCAGGGATGGTACTTGTATCTACTGACGTGTGCAGTGTTCACTATGGTGTCTGGATGGTACTGCCAGAATTACTACCTTTGAATCCCCTATTCTTATGTTTAACCAGCTGAGAGTTGCTGAAAGGGAGAACACTTGCTCATTATAAGCACGTGGTATCATCTAACCCAAGTATCTATCTTGTCATACTTGGTAAGTGTTTCCTCATAAATACAAGACTGTCTATAAAAAATGCCACTGAATTAAGTTCACGACAGCAACATACTGGGTTTTCTGGATGCATTTCATTCCTCTTAACTGTTCTGCTGCTTCTTGGCTGATAAAAGTTCTCATCCAAGTAAATATCTTCTATGAAGATTTCTTTTCCTCTTATGACTTGATAGCATCTATTTCAGATAAATCTTGAGTTCTTAACCCTTTGCTGTCATCAAAGGCTCTTTGATAAGTTTGCAAGGAAAAAAAAAATGTTACTCATAGTGTCCTGATCACCATCCAGAAAGCCAAATCAAAATTCTCTGTTCTGCTGCAACTGGCTTGCTTGAAAAAAAACGGCTTGGTCAGACTAGGTGATAAAGATAACTACAGAGGATGTTTGGATTACAGTTGCTCTGACAAATGTATGTGTAGTTATCAAAACAACAAAATCATAGTCCTTCAAAGGCACTTAGATGTAGCACAGGATATGTTAATTTGTGATTTTTCTAAAAGAGGGTTCTTAGCCCTTCTCATTGGAAATCCTACAGCAACCATTAGGATCTTCCTGAACCATATACCCTTCCACTATACCCTGGCAGAATTGTTGCATTCCTGAATTGCCTTGGATTTTGTTTCTGTTCCCCTTCAGGAACAATGAGAGTATCTTGGGAGAAATTTATGAATTTCAAGTCCCTGCAAAGAAACATGCTTCTTTTCTGTGTAGTTGAATGAAGGTAGAACTTACTTAAAAGGTTTATAACTTTAAAACAAAAGACCTTTCTCTGGCCTGTGTGAGAGAGTGGCAATTTCTTAATTGCATTTAAATAACTATGTAGCAGGACAAATGTATATTTTCATCAAATGTTACTTTACTAAAAGTATTTTTCATGCTCTGTAGTAACTGAAGTGCTGCAGTTGAGTGATGCTCTTCGAGATGACATCCTTCCTGAACTTGGTGTTCGATTTGAAGATCATGAAGGTACCCAATTATATGTCTTGGAACTTTGTAGGTAGCTGTTTTTATAATCTTGCTATTTTCGTAAGAAGTGGGAAAACAACCTGTCAAGACTAATCTGGAATAATCCAACAAACTCAAGGACTGCAAAGCTATAGCATATCATATTTCTGATGTATGAATATATATTATAGAACTGTATGTTGCAGTATTGTATAGAATATAAAAATGTACATTGCAATCTTTTTGATCTTTTTGTATAGCACCTAATTTCTTAGTCACTTTTGAGTAGGTATTCAGTTGTATTTGCATTCAGCTTGCAAAAAGAAAACAGTTATCACAGGGCAAATACATTTATCTTTGACTGACTATTCGAGCATTGGAAACTCATTCATCTGTTTTTGCTTCTTTAGGACTTCCAACTGTGGTTAAATTAGTGGATAAGGACACGTTATTGAAAGAAAGAGAAGAAAAGAAAAAGGTGATTATTTTAAGCATTCTATATTTTTTAAATGTAAAGCACCGTGTAAGCTGTGGATACTTTTACATTTCTTTGATAACTTGTAAGAAAAAACCTTAACAGACGAGCAACAAGGAAAATAACGTAAGAGAATTGATACTAAAATTTGAGTGGTGTTCAGGAAAAGAATTTTTGAAACAGTAGCTTCTTGAAAATTTTGTATGGGACCTAATGAATACCACTAAGGTTTTTGTTTGTTTGCTTTTTAAGATCTTCATATAATTAAGGGATGTTGAGTATTGCATGTGTGCTGTCATATCTCTCGGGAAGAACAATTCCAATGAGAAGCTAATTCGGACTTTTTGTCTGTAGAAAGGAAGTTGACATTTTCCATAGAATTAGACTGTGTTTATCTGATATGTGAGAAGAAAATGCACTGGCTAAATCTTAATTAGTGTAGTGTGGATGAGTGAGATATTGAGGGTGTGGGGGCAAGAATTTACATGTTACTATATAAAGATTGAATCCTAATTCACGTGCACAAGGTCTGCACAGAAACCCTCCTTTTGGCACCTCCTAGCAATAGTATTTGACTTTGTAACATTTGAAAGTAACACTTTATATGTCTTAATGAATAATAAAATTCCATCATGACTAGAAATGTTTGGAAGACTTTACAACATTGCTCCTTCCATGTAGATTTTTTTAGAAGAGGGAGAAGTAAAATGTAGTTTCAGCCAATTCCAGATGTTTTCATCAAAAAGACATTTGAAGGCAGTTTGTATATAGCTGCTGGGTGAAACCTGCAGCTAGAGTACATTTTCCCTGGAAACAGTATTATGTTCAGTACTGGCAGAACCCTTGGAGAACTGATAGGTCTCTCCTAAGCAAGTGCAAGATGAGATTTTTTTTTTTTTTTTTTTTTTTAATTTTTATAAGTTGGCTAAATTTGGGTAGTTGTTTCCCTAGGAACATCAAGGGATACAACTGCTTCTTGAGAAACTGTAATGTCTTCACAGTTTGAGGCAAGAGCTTAAAATATCAGCAAAATATGGTCTTTTTTTAAAGTCATTTGCAAAACCTTTTTCCCCGTGAAACGGCAGGACCATTTCTTTTGCAGGCTTTGTAGGTATTCTTTCATATGTATACACTTTGCATGCAAAAAGCATTCTGAACAGTTACAACTGGTTTAACTGTCAATAAAAGCAAATGAAATCAAAGTCATACAGTGGGAACTATCAGACAATCCTAATTATAAGGCTTGGTGGTTTTGCTGCAGGTCATGCTGCCAGTTCTGTCTGTAATTAGATATCCAGGAGAGCTAGCTGGCTCATATTTTTAGAAAACAACCAAATGAAGTAGTTAGTTACCTTTTACTCATTAACATTGCCTTTCATAGGTTGAAGAAGAGAAAAAAAGGAAGAAAGAAGAAGCAGCCAGGAAAAAACAAGAGCAGGAAGTAAGTGTTCAGATCCTTTTAATCTGGTTTTGAAGAAAAGTGTTAGCAGCAATAGTCACGTGCAGGAAAGATTACATTAGAACACAGGCTCTCTGCCCAGCCTTAACTGGGCCTCCATTTATTTTTTTTTGTCTACAATTTCCTGCTCAGAATGACTTCAGCTTGCAGTTCAGATTTGAATATTCAGCTCCTATTATAGAGAAGCCATCTTTGAAAACACAACTAGAAGCTGCAAGAGCTTCTTAGAAGATCTTGTAGCACATATTTCAGTCTATAGTATTACTTCCTTAATTGCCAAAGTAGTATCTTACATGCCTGTTAGAAAAGATTTTGCTTTTGTCATTTATTATTTTCTTCCCTTTCCAGTGTTGTAGGTATGTGTAAAAACAGGTTGTTTTTTTTTTTCTCTTTAAGAATCCGCCTGTTCCCTGCAATTGAACTCTGAAATGTAGTGTTTTGTAAAAACACATTTCATCTCTACAGCTGGAATGGAGATAGCTCAAAGGTTTTAGGCTTTGGATGAGGAGTAGACAGCCAGAGGAGATGAGATGAGAAGAAAAGATTTTTTTACCATGCTGATGACCCTAACAGTATAGGAAACGTGTCCCTGGGTTAAAAGAGGAAGTAAACTTTTAGAGAGCACCATGTACAGAGAGAAAAACAGACAAATAGCATTTATCATCCACAAATTCCATGTGGCTTTTTGCATTCTTTCAAAAAGGTGATTCCCTTGCATTGGGCATAAACTACTTGGAAAGGATTCTGAGATGTGCTTGTTTACAGATAAGTGAAAGTTCAGTTTATTTTCAGTGCAATTACTTGCATCCTGATCCTGCTGTGACCCGCATAGAAACCTGTGCTTGTCAGCAGGAAAAACATATTTTTTCCTCCCAGACAAGCACAGCTAAGACTTTTTGAGTTGTTCTGCACTGAAAGTTTCTTTTCACATGATAAACAATTGTGAATTAAATGCTCTTTGATTTGCAAATTATAGTCTACTTTTCCTTTTGCCTATGTGACAGGTTGTCAGTAACTCTGATGCTAATGCAGTTAATGCACCTTTTATATTACAGGCAGCAAAGCTGGCGAAAATGAAGATTCCACCGCATGAAATGTTTAAATCAGAACATGACAAATATTCCATGTTTGATGAAAACGTAAGAGACACTTCTTTAGACAGGGAGTGGCTTTCCTTCCCTAGTTGTACATACTCAATTGTATGTGTACACAGCTGATCTTGTTCCAAAACCTCCAGTGCTATTAACTTAACGTAGCAGGAGGAGGGAAGGAGAGAAAGAAAAGGCAATATACTAATTTTATTACACATACATATTGCATTGGGGAGAAATGTTCTCTAACTGTTAGCCATCATTTCAAGGGTATTTTCATTGCACATTAGTCTCCTTTGGCCTCTCTCATCGCAGAGCAAAATTCCCTGTAGATACTGTGGGTAGGAACATGTATGATGTTTGTTCACAGATTTATTACCATGTTGCAAGGCAAGGAATTCACTTGCAAGTACAAACTCCGCAACTCTGCCAGAACTGATGTTTTTAGAGAGGTCTTGTGCTTCCTTTTTGGTTCTGCCCACTGTTCTGCTCTCTCCTGGCAAAGGATCTCTGAAGGGGCTGTACGGGTAACTGTGCTGTTGATTGCTCCCCTTGAGGATAAAAGGTGTTACTTGGAAAACATGAAGCACGTTTCTTCAGTGCTTGAGCCAGGACACTGATCCTGCTTCTGCCTGTCCTCTTCACCCATGCAAATTCAGGTCCTGGGAGCAAGTAAGAATGGAGAGTGTAAATGCTGGAAAATACCCCTGCAAGCCAAGGAGAGCCTCCATAAAGTCTCTGATCATACCTTCTCCATCGAGAACATAAATCTCTTATGCTTTTGCTTTAAGCCTTGGATTCAATATGCTAGTATGATTAAAAGTGGTCTCTTAACCATCTGTTCAGGGATTAGTCATTATTCTCTTAACTATAACCACCTAGAAGTTAGTTGTCTAAGCTTCCCGTACTTAGTACAGGACAGAAAATAAATACGTCCTTTGCCCCTTCATTAACTAGGAAGGGAACATAGACAAATAGTCAAAGTAAGTTGTCAAACTTCTAGGTGATTACAATTAGCCAAGATGCACCCCGTCCTGACAGCTTGTCGTTATGACATTATCCCCCTATCTTATTAAAACACGATTCCATAAGGAGCAAAAGCAGTCCAATAATTTATCTTAAATATTCTCTTTTTTTTTTTTTTTTTTTTTTTTACTATTTCAGGGATTTCCCACCCATGACACAGAAGGCAAAGAACTCAGCAAAGGACAAATTAAGAAGCTAAAGAAACTTTATGAAACCCAAGAAAAGCTATACAAAGAGTATCTACAAATGATTCAGAACGGAAGTGCAAATTGAAAACAACAGGACTTTTTTTTTTAGAAGGCGAGTGCTGGGTCACCATTGAAGAAGTGAGCATATACCAATGCTCAAATTTCTGTTTACACTTTCTACTATGTGCAAAGTAAAAATACTGTTTACGTAGATTAATAATGTCATCTGGAAAGTCAATAAAAATCCATTCTTTAAAAAAGCCAACCTGTAAGAAGTTTCTTCGCAACAACAGTAGCAAGTTGAACGGTTGCCAGTTGGATTTGGGAAGGTGCTGCTCAGTCAGCAAATCCACATAAGGATTCTTGTTTATTATAGCTGTCCAGGCTTTGGTTAATTTGTCCTGCATTCTGATCTCTATCTAAAGCCCACTGTAGCTTGCATTCTGGAATATGTCACAGTCAGCAAAATTTACTACTAAATGGGAGCTGAGTAATTTGTCCCACAGTAAGAACAGTATTTTCCAGATGACTTCAGTATCTTTATATAAGCAGGAAAAACTGGGTAGTTCCACTATGATACTTACTCTAGCTGCTGTTACTAAAAACTCTCGTAAGTCTACCCAGAACACTTTGCGTCGTAGAAGCTCAGTCCCTTCGTTGCAAAAGGGAACAGATCATCACCTTTGCTCAACGTGCAGTTGCAATCAAGAGGGTAAGTACAAGGCAGATGCACCTGCATTGAACAAACAGGTGGGGAAGACATGAAGGGCTAATGGCAGAGGGTGGTGCATTCTTGGAGCTATCCCTCCAAGGAACAGGAGTGCTGCCAAAGTACCTAATTACCTGTTCAGAGCCAAGGGGAATTAACAGAGGGTTTCTTACTGAGATACAGTTTGTGGATTGGTTTGCAATTAGGAAATACAGCTATAAATTACTTGTTATTCAAGATTGATGTTTTTAACATGACAATTTAACCCCAAGTTAATAATCTTTCTGATGTAGTATGGTCACATCATGTCTGCAAGGACAGTTCTCTGTTGCCTAATAATGCATTTCACTGGCAGCAGCTACTTCATGAAATCCTAAAAAAAATCTCACCTACTTCACAACTACATATAACAGCTATATGTAGAACTATATTCATCAAGTATTCTTAAACCACAAGGTGACTTGCAGGTCATACTGTGATACCTCTGTTCTCTCAACTCTTAGGTTCATGCTATAACCATTAGGCTATGTTCCTTTCCTTAATTAAGAGTTAAAACATCTTTGCTTTATCTTTATATTTTTATATTTGTATTCCTCCTTCTGAGGAATGAACATATTTGGAGTAACAGAAAGGTCTAGTAGGTTTTTTTTCTAGTTTGTCTGTGTTTGCCTTTGAAAACATACGTAATGTTAAAGTCGGTAAAGCACATGCATCTTGTATGCAGAAAATAAAATCTGTTGTAAAATACAAGTTGTATGTGACCTTTGTATAGTGGGAAGAATATAGAGCTTATCTTTATTCCACAACCATCTTTTTGAAATGAGGTTTACAGACCTTTTCCTTTAGCTTGCTATTAGTAATTTAATATTAGTAATTTAAAATTTAATTCATTTTGCATTCAGTATTTGATTATTCTGTGAATTTCTAATTAATTGTATAAATGCATGTTTAAACTACACAGCGGTACTTCAAATGGCCAGCCACAGCCATGAGAGCAACTTCTCCATCCTTTGGTCTGTGAACAGAAGAGGATCAGTTGCATTTTTACACCATTCTAGATCCTAACTCCCTTCAACATTATCAGCTCATTGTTTTCTTCCCAGCCTGCTCCCCCAAGACACATCTGCACTCAGGATATCCATGAAGGGATGGGATGTGCCTAGGCTGCAGTGACAAGATGCTGCTTCTCAGCCAGATAAGGTTCTCCAGTTCCAAACTCCCTGTAGTCCTAGACAGATTCCAGGGCTAGTTCTGCAAACTTTACTAGGAATCCTAGGCCCGAATCATTTCTAATCACAGCATAGATTTCACTGCCATAACTACTTTCCTGAACGTGAACTCCTTCTGAAGTTGCTACTTAATGTCAAATAGTGACAGTAATTTGCTTACAGAAATTCTTTTTTGGTGATCCGAGTTAGCACTTGCTTAGAGCTAGTTAGTATATAACTATGGAGAAGACGCTGTTGATCCATTGCTGTCCTGGATTCTAGTTTCTTTATGACATCTCCATGATAACATCCTGGCTTTCCCACACACACACACACTGGTTTTTCTTCTCTGCTGTGTTTTCAGTAGAACCTCATTCAATTCCATGGTTTATCTACTACATCAAGGTAGAAGAATTTTTTTTAAAAAATGCCCTTTTTCCTTCCCAAATGCTTCGTTTTGTTTCTGGGACAACTCTCCTTGCATAGTGCATTTCAGACTCACATTCTCAAAAGGTTATCTTCCGTTTTTTCTGTATGCTTCCCACATGCACGCACTGCTTCCTCACTCAATATTTTTTTTAAATTCATAGTTAGTCATGTCAGATAAGGGCCTCTGCTGCATTTACTGCCCCATTAAGGTCTTATTCTACCTCCAAAATTATTTAGCTCATGCTCACCATTTCTGTGTTTTGTCTGATTGTTTTAAGGATTCTTTCAAATCATCTTAGTTTATCCAAAACATCAGTGCTGCTGAAGTCCTTTCTCCTCTGCTACACCAGAAACAGCATTCCTGTTCTTGAATTCTCTTTGACCACAATCAAAAGTCTCCTAAGGTCAATGGGATTCTTTTCATAGACATCATAAGGATCAGAGCCTTTGAAATCCTCTCCTCTTCAGGCTCACCTTGTGTCTTGGGTGATCATTGTTCTTCCACACAGCTACATAGCCTCCCGTGCTTTTTATAGTGCTTTGCTGTCTAGTTCCTGTGTTTTCGAAGTTACCTTCTTCAAGCAAGCTTGTCACTTGACTTCTCCAGCAATAAAGCCCTCAAAACCTTTCCATACTTGAACTTTTCTTCCCATACTTGAACTGGTCTTCCAATTACAATTTTCTCTTCCTACCTGTTTCAGCTGTCCTTGGAAGTCAGCATTCTCAGCAAGGAAAATGTCTGCTTCATGAAGCATCTGTGAGTTAGTTGACAGGCCCAAGTATTTTCTATTAAAAAAAAAAAAAGCACACAAATTGGCAACTCCTCCTGTAGAGAAGCTGCTAAAATATTTTACCTTGATACACAAACAGGAAGTTATTCATTCTCTCCAAATAAAATCAGAGTAAAATAAATAAAATCACAGTAAAATAAAATCATATTTTGAGTTCCTTTTTTCGAAAAGCAGCAGGATAATAAAAACAATGACCTTGGCAAAGACTCAGAAAAATAGACTTAGTCTCCTAGAATTTGTAACAAAAACAAGCTCCAGAGCTACTACACATCAGTTACTTTTATCCTCTCTGCAGCCACAATTTAGCAAAAAAAATAACAGTATGCATAAAGTCCTGGTGAAGGAAAACTTGCTAGCAAACAAAGAATGCTGCAGCCAGGCTTGGATGCACGCTGTTTAAGACGACTTCTTTGGTGAAGGTGTGCCAATTGATCTGTGCGATCACTGAAATGCACAGCACAATCCCTCTTCCCTGGGAATCCATCAAGGTGGCACTTAAGTGAATTCCACTGCACTTGCCTAGTGAGAGTGACCTGGCAACCAGGAGAAGAGAATGCAACAGCAATGGTCTGCATTCGGTGTCTTAGTCACCTGTCTCTCTCAGCAAGGAAAAGGCAGAGGACAGTCTCCACAGTATTTTAAATTTTTTTTTTATTTTAAAATGTGCACGTATGCATGTACACGCTCAGGGAAGCCAGTCTGGAATGTGATTTTCTAAGCATTATGAAAATGAAAATCCCTATAGCAAAATCTTGGAATTTTTTAGTAGTTTCATTTTCTGGAACACAGACCTCATGTTGGTCTGCACAACATGGAGCTTTTTATTTCCCACCTATCACAGAATTTATTCAGAGATGGCAAGGCAAGATAGAAGTCTGGTGTTTCTGTTTTTCATTGCACCCTTGGCTGAAGGCCAAACTTGGCAGCAGCAAATTTTGTTTGTGTCTCTCGCTCAGAGTGTGCCTTTCAGCCTTTCTAATGTGAATATTCACATTAACATCAAATGTGAATATTGCTCCACTAAAGAGAATAAGTTCCTCCATCACTCAGTTTGTTCAGATACTGGTAGAAAAATCTGTGAATTGTTCAATCTGGTCTTGTTGCCACCAATGTTCTTCAAAGACTTTAAACTAATGAGTGCCTAATTACATTTATGATACTCTCTTTGACCTCTTTATCCTCATGTTTGTATTTGCTGTCTGCTGTTCCAGGAAACTACTGATGCATTTTAAATGTGTAAATAAGCAAATCTCTGCCACATACAGTACATACCTTCAGCTTCTTTTTCTACATTTTAAGCTAACATTTTCAGGTGGTGGTAGTTGTTGGACCAGCTTTAGCTCCCTCTTTAATTACACAACTTCTGCCACACCAATATGGAAAGGAATTTTTACTCCTCTCTGCAATTTCACAGGGAAATTTCTATACAGGACACTGTACCACATGCATAGTACTTAACATGTCTCCTGAGACAGAACAAATTAATTAAGAAGCACATCAGCTATTTAGTACCAAGACTCCACTTAGCGATAACCAAAGTTCTTCCTCCCCCTCCAGAAAAAGTCATTGACGAACTAAGTCTTATCTCTCAAATTAGGCTGTGGATGTCTGGCATCTCACTAAGTGAGAGCAGTTTCCATTAATACCCACCCAAGGGCAGAAGACACAGACATTTTAATGTCAGTTGCAGATCTCAGCCTAAGCTTTCTCTCCAGTGTCTAGTGCATCTGTTCAGCAGCTCTGCCATAATCCCTTCTCTGTTTTGGTTCTCCAAGCTCTCTTGTATGCTAGGCTGGGTGTTTAAATCAAGCCAGGGTGATTCAGCAAATATCTTTTTGCAGCTCTCTGCAGGGTAGGAGCACCTGACAGCAAGATGACTCCACAGATTGTGCCTTATCCACAGTCCTGAAGTCTACCACTGTGCTTACGAGAGGTTAGACAACAGTCAGCAGAAGTCCCTCATTGATCATGGGAGACTAATGCCTTTGGAGAGGGGCACTAAAAATCCAAGGATGTAAGGTAATTTAAATGTATGTTTACTTCGATATACATCAGTGGAGGAAGAGAGCCAAATAGTTCCAGCGCTCTGGCCTGTTTCAAGGCTTTAATAACTGGTCCAGAAGAAACCAAATCTACTTTTACAAGACTATACTAATTTTAATTTAATTCAGGGTTTGCAGCATCTATGAGAACTGCATTAACAAGATAGCAACTAGTGCAGAGGGACAAACTCTAACATGCCACAGAAGATGCAGTAGCGCAACAAATAGTCCGAACAGGGCCACAGTGTATTCCTGCAACAGCAGAAAGGTGCAGCTAGATCACGTACTTAAGCAAAACCTCCTACATCTTTGTAGGAGACAAAGGTTGGAGTTTGTACTCCAAACATCTTCTAGGTAGAAAGGAGAAATAGCTTTTATCAAAATGGAGATTGACAGAAAAACTTTAAAAGAACACTTCACAGCTATGAACCAGCAGCAAGAACAAAAGGTGCAGTAGGAATACCTTCAGATAAATCCTCCTTTCGGAGTTCATTATGCTCTTCTTTGCAAGACTGAGAATTAAGTGTAGCCATTATAATGAATAAAGTTG